CAATTTTGTGGTACACGTCACAACCATGTTGAGACAGATGCCAAATCAAAACCGCGGATGAAAAGATGTTTTTAGCAGTTGTCAACTTCAAAAATAAATTTTATAATTATTCAGAATAACATTGTAATAGGACCAGAAGATGAGGAACAGCAAAAAGTGCAATTCGCGAGCACTTAAACCCTTTCGCAATACTTAAAATAATTTAGACGGTTAAAAGTGCATGTAGAGTGATTATCATTTTGCAAGCCACCGGCTTGCCAGGCCGAGCACATTTCCACTAATTCTTTGGTAAAACTCACAATATTTTTGAGACGGGACAAGCGCCAAAATGTGACCGCCCCCTGAATTACACAGTTAGATAAAGAGGTGGATATTGTTTATGAATGGGTAGTAATAAGTCACAGGTCATTGTGAATAGACGTGGACGTGCGTAAATACAGTGGTGTATGGCAATGTGAATTCCGTTGAGTGGAATTTTTAGTCCAGTATTTTAGAAATGTTCAGGTTGAACAAGATGTGCAAATAGGAAAATAACCAACAGGCTTGTTAAGCAATATTAATGGAGTCGCCTGCATGTGCACGCAGTTTAGTAATGGCTGTTATGTTATTGCTTTATTTTAATTGCCTTCGTGTTTCTCTGTAGCTTAATTTTCCACCTGGCTTAATGTCACAACTTCAACTATAAACCAGACGAAGACCTGTGAATAAAAGGTTTGGATTTGGTAATGAAGCTGCTGTGTTGTGTTGCTTTTCTCTCCGGGGATATGTGAAGCCGGGAGCCGGACCTAGATCTTCTTATATCATCCCAGCAGAGCCCCTAGAGTAAAATTATCACGCAAAAGGAATCCCGCCGTACAGCCAAGTGCCCAGTAGGGGGCCTACAAAATGAGCAAGTTTTTAGGAATGAGATTCCAAGACAAACTATGCCTAGTAGTAAATATATATATATCGTATAAATATAGACTGAACCTCGGGGTACTGGTAATACGCTAAGATATCATTTCCCAAGAAAAAATACCTGCGATAAATGAAAGTTCATTTCTCTTATTAAATGATATAAAATAGTAATTAATTGTTCTATAACGGGTTATCATGTGAAGTATGGTGTGTTAAAACCTTGTATATGTTAATTATTAGGTAAGAGATCATGTAAATTTCATTGAAAATAATATATATATATATATATATATATATATATATATATATATATATATATATATATATATATATATATATATATATATATTTAGTGCTTAATAGCTGTAATTGCATTATTTTTCATTAAATGTAAATTTTGATAGGACAAGGTATACATCACGAACACATTAAAAGTCAGTAAAATCAGAGGGTTAAAATGTATGAGGGGGATTCATAAAGATATCGACTGCTTGAAGGGGCTGGATGAGGTGTAATACATGTAAAACTGCTATAACTCCTGTATTGCTTTATTATAACTGTTAACTACCTTACGTGGAACTATTTACAACTACACCCTTCCATTACTTAAACCCAGCTGAGTTGCAAACTGGCGGCAAATGAACATGTTTAAGTTAAAAAAAATCCTTTCTAATTCAAAACAATGCTTCTTTAGTTTTCTTTCGGTTTTGTCTATTACACTGTCCTTCGCTTATGCTTAATTATCAGTGTGATGATTGACGTTTGTTTATAACTGTCAATCAAGCCGCACACGTTTTGGGGATTTGATTGACACCAGTCAATCAAAGGAGGTAAAAATTCGTTTGCGGGGTGGTTGTGATTGACGTTTGATTATGTAACCGTCAAACAAAACTTCTGCACCTTAGAGCTTTGATTGACACCTATCAATTACAGAAGGTAAATGTCCCATTGTGATTGACGCTTGTTTACATGATATAAAATTTCGAACTTTACAATTTTTCTCGTATTTCTAATCTTGCATGGTAGATCAACGTCATTCAAACGTAGACAAGGTGAGATGAAAACTTGGTTTTAACCTCTTTTTTTTCTAAACAGCTCTCCGGAAGTTTATCGTGAGCGCCTGTCTTTTCTATATTTAAACAAACACATCTGTGATGATGGAAAATAGGAAAGAGTCCATTTTAATTACCGTGGTAAAATGAAAGTATGTTTCACAAGCCACTAATACTTCGTCTTCGCAAGTGCCATATGCCATACAGATCTAACGGCGTAGGCGATCTTGGACTTTAAATGAACATATTAAGCTATGTAAGCCGCACACCCCGGTAGGAAAAGGAACGTGAAGAAGAGTTTCCTTTCCTTCCCCCAGTCAAATTTATACTTTACATCTATAGTTCAAAATTGGCCCTAGTGTATATGTTTCATAAAATTGCAAATATTATCAAGATCTTACAACACTTTCATTTATGCAGTTTACCTGTTTATATTCTGTTACTTATTTCTGTCCCTAATGTTATCGTCTAGAGCTGTACATATTATTTACCTAGAAAACTGCACCCAAAAAATACCCAAGAAAATAATACCTGAACCTTCTCTAAAATATAAACTTTCAAATATGAATTATGATATAGTCTGTATAAGTTACCATGAAAACTGAATCTATAAGTAGCTATAGCTGTAAGCCTTGCGAATGTGACTCTTAAGGAAGTTTTCGGTTTCAACAGTGGTGTGTGGGTATATCATATAGTGGTTTTATTTGTGTTGGTTGGGTTAAAAAGGGTCAGTATACACTGGTAGCAGACAGTGATTGAGAGCGTGCGGGGTGGTTAATATCAATTTGAAACATGGTTGGGCAGGGTGAGGCCTGGAAAGATCTAGGATAAGCGTTTTATGTTTATGCTGTCTTATTACTATTCAAGGAAACTTTAGACAGGGGGATACTTTGAATACTTGACATGTCATCTGGAAACCCGCGATGAACGGTATATAAAGTCCACTCCCGCCACATTATGGTTGTACCAGAATAGTATCAGTACAGATACTTCATATTGCTCACAGCTATTCAAGAAGCACAGAAGAAAGGCTAAATCAGAGAAAACACAATATCAACGTGTCCTGGATCTTCCAGAGTATGTAAAAAGAAATCATATAGGAAAAAATAAAACATTATTGAACCGGACTCTTGGCTCTTGTTAATGAAATAATCGATGTTCGCACATAAAACCAAATGGTGCAATATAGCCAAAATAATTTTTGTGAGATTCCTGCTTGTTTTGCTCATTGGATATTGTTGTTCATGTCTTACATCAATAAAAAATTCGTTATAAACATCCCGGCATGCGTGTTCGTATTTAAGATAGAGGGAAGGGAAGGAGGACATGAAAACAGAGGAGTAGAAAATAGTTCGCATAGGCCTATATAATAGAAAAGGGCACTTGTGCACTCTTCGCTGTGGGGAGCTCGTGCTCATGCGTGGATTTTCTTGTTTTTGGAATTTAAGTTAAACCGTTTGGTTGATCTGCTGATCGCGTAGCGCTACTGCATCACGAAATCCCCACTCTTTGCCAGAGGCCGACCAGGTGAAGACTTGTTGACGTGCAAACATCTCCCAGCGAACATCCCCAAGTGAATTGCCAGAGGAATATCAAACGTAAAAGCTCTTTCTCAGGCCTTGGTGGATGGTACAAAATCCCCTGTAACACAAGTTCATTGGAAGGGGGGTGATCGGAAGGAAAATTTTTGCGGGGTGATCTTTTTAGTCTGCCCTCATGACATACAGGATCGGCCGGTGAATAAAACTCCATACGTTTTAAACTTGAAATCCAGTGCTGATGACGGTCTATTACCTCGTGGCTATGGCTGATATTCCATAAATCGTTAAGAAATCTTTGTTTTCATGTCCGTTTTTTTTTTTACGTAATACGACACTGCGCGGGAATGGCAGGCAGATACTGATAGTTGCAGTCTTAATTAAGTCCAACTCATGTTCTCGTATGTTTTAGAAGCGTTTTTTTTTTTTTTTTTTTTTTTTTTTTTTTTT